CGACGGTGGATTCGAGGGGAAAGAAAGCCATACCTGCACACACCCACACCAATTTGCAGCTCAGGCAGTGCGGTGGAATAAATACTCGGGCAAATGCGTCAGGTGTGTGTGCGCTGTAAAAAGCTTACCTGAAATACCCTGAAAAACAACGTAGTTCTAGGCAAAATAATTCTTAGTGATCCTGGCAGAAGACAGTTCAGCATGCTTAAAACTAATTGAAAAGAAGTAAAGCAGGAGCTTTCAGAAGTTCACTGAAATCGGTGGGTTCATTCAACACACAGTCAGTGCTGCAAGTCACATCAGCAAAAATGGCCGACGAGACGTACCGTCTGATCTCGGCTCGCAGAAGGACACCCTTGGAGTGTATGCGCAATACGAGAACCGAGAAAACTTTCTGAAAGAAAACCCGCCGGTTTAGAAAAGCCGAGTTCATGAGTCAATGGTGGTAATGCTTTACGAGGAGGCGTTGAGACTGAACATGACGAAAAGGGGTAACAACACTGCAGCTGTTAAGCGGATCAAGAACGGCTATACTGGATACAGCAAATCTTAACCGACAGTCAGCCAAGGAGTTCATAGAAAGTTCTGACGTGCACATTTAATGCATGAAAAAGAACGTACATAGCGTCTAGTCCTTGAAGTGGCGCCCACATGTCTTCCGTGATGTTCTCAATGTTGAGACCACTTAAGTCACTGAAACAGAAATAAAGCGTCTTTTCCCTTTGGTCGTTATCGATAACCCTGGTTATGTGAACACAGAGAAGTTTTGCACTTCCTTGAGACGCCGGCCATAAGTTGCGAAGCGTGCTGATTTGCAGGCTTCCAGGTACGATACGTCCATACACGTCCGTACACGTCCACGTCCGTCCACTTCCATACACGTCCGTACACGTCCATACACGTCCATACACGTCCACGTCCGTCCACGTCCATACACGTCCACGTCCGTCCACGTCCATACACGTCCATACACGTCCACGTTCATACACGTCCATACACGTCCATACACGTCCACGTCCGTCCACGTCCATACACGTTTTTCTGACGATGAACGTCGTCAGCCTCTGCTTGTTTCGGATACCGTACGTATAGTTTTTGACAACCGTATCGACTTCCGCACCGCTAAAGCTTTTAACGGCAAAAACTTAGCGCTAATAGATTTACCTGTCGAGCTATCAAATGAAATCTTCATTAGACCGCAGCAGAAACGCTAAAAGGAAATCTGTCGCGCAGGCTCAGTTGATTAAATGATGTTTTTATCACAGTCCCGATCTGAGGAGTGGCGGCATTGACCGCATTCCGCAAATTCGATTCAAAGACCACGACAAGCGTCATTCAAAAGACAAAACGGTAACCAGATTAACTTATACTGGGAGGCAAAAAAGACTTAAATGATGTAAGCTGTTCAGTGCACTAGCGAAGGAACGTTATTCACATAGATAAGACAGTCGAATTAGCCTTATTCCTCGGAAGAAACCGGGAGAATGGAGATATAGTTTAGTTGATATTTCGGCAACATGCTTTTATCGAAACAAAAGCAGAAGTGAATCAAAAATCGCCTGCCAATGATCCTACTCGATTTCTCAGGTTACTTTTTGAAACAGCAAGCCACAGTTTTTACAGGACACCAACATTCAGGGGATTAAACAAAGAGCAATTGCCAGCCAATGCCAAGATACAGTGCCTATCTCAGAATTAAAATGCGCGGACATACGTGTGTATGCAAACGAGTTTAAGCAAATAGGCATTACGCATCACGTTTTATTCAAACATGCGAGTTGAAGTGCACAGGCATAACACATCGCGCACCAATTATACATGCAAACGATTTCAATTGAATATGCATCGCACATCACGCGTCAGGCATCACTTAGACATGTAAACGATTTTAAGCTAGCTTAAGTTTAGCCATTATCTAGCTATTAGCCTAAACCTAGCGATTTTGAGCTAGCTTAAAATCGTTTACATGTGTAAGTGATGCCTGGCGCGTGATGTGCGGGTCCTGTTCAATTCAAATCGTTCGCGTGTATAACTGATACGCGATGTGTGATGCATACCTACTTCAACTCGCTTGTATGCCTGAATGAAACGTGATGCGTGATACCTATTTGCTTGAATTTGTTTGCGTGTACACGCATGTCCGTGCATTTTAATTCTTAAATAGGCACCGTATCTTGGTAATGGCTGGCATTCGCTCTTGGTTAAACTCCCTGAACGTTGGTGTTCTGTAAAAATATTGGCTTGCTGTTTCAAAAAATAGCCTGAAAAAATTGAGTAGGATCATTGGCAGGCAATTTTGAATGCACTTCTGCTTTTGTTTTAAAAAGGCGTGTTGCCGAAATATCAACCAAACGATGCCTCCATTCTCCTGTTTTTTTTCCCGAGGAATAAGGCTGACACTACTGTCTTATCTATGCGGATTAATTATACTGGGAGGCATGGGTGTACCTAAGAGCATAAATTTGGAATACTATTCCATCCTGCAGTTCTCTTTGGTAGATATACGAACACGTCATGAGCTTATCATACGAGAATGTGTGAGCTCGTATACAAGCTTAGAGCCTTATGCATTGCCTCACCAAACACGCCACATATTGACACCTCTTATCCCATCTCAACTAAGCACTATGCTAATAAAGTGTAACGAGTCCTAAGCGCAGGGTTGGTATTACTGATATGGACGGTTCTGCACATGAACATTTGCAAACTTACAGACTGTAGAGTGCTTTCAAATCGTAGAAACCATCCACAGGAAGCTGTGTGAATTGGTTGAATCCAATGTGTCTGAAACACATTGCCGCATAAAGTGAATTGGCATGCATCCTTCGAAACATTGCATCATACATTTGACTTGCTCTTTTGTTGTTAGGAGGCCGTGTTACACATCCAAGCAAAGATAACTCCTCTGTTGTGGGAAAGCTGGGCCCCACCTTCAAACAACTTCATCCGATGAAATAAGACGCCCTGAAACCCAGTAGCCACACAATCAGGCAAGGCACGTACCGAACTTCTGCCAGACCTGACGTCTTCACAAACAACAATCTCGTCCTGAAGCGCACTGTTCCGCCCAAAAGGAGTGAGCTTCAAGCACTTGACATGATTCAGAAAACCATCGTACTGCTGTTTCATCATTGCTAACAACGAGACGTGATGACATGTGACCCACAAAATATCAGAGAGAGAGAGCGAGAGAGAGAGAGCAATTTCAGCTAGCTGACATGACAAATAGCTACCGCCAGTCCAGCCAGTATATCAATCATCTGCAGCTGGGTGGTCGCATCACACCAACCAACAACACCTTCACCAGCTTCTCTCACGTCGCAGGCCGAGGAATCCCATAACCTGCTGGTGCGAGGTCATACAATCGCGGCCCGCCGGTGCGTCGGCTCTCGTGCGTCCTCCAGCCGGCCGGTACCCCCGCCCAGGGTCCGAGCAGGCGCGCTCAGTCTTGCGCCGTCTCGTTCACGCACGGGTGGCCGCAAGCGCTGGGCGGCGCGACAAAGCCGCCGGCCCCGCGAGGCGGCAGCGGCGATATCCGCCCACTTACAGCACGGTCAGGCGGTGCAGGCTGGTGAACCAGGCGCGGCCGAGCACTGTCAGGCGGTTGTTGTTGAGGTACCTGCGCACGGGTCACGGCTCAAAGTCGCGTACACATTCTCGCATACACGCACGCAGCCACGCGCCAGTTCACCCAAAAACGTTTTCCCGTGTCGTTCTTGTTAGTTCTTTTGTGCTGCTTATCGGCGTCAGGCCGACAAGTGCCAAACCTCATTGATGGCAAAACCGTAGCAGCTCTTCGCTTAGCAGCCCATAACCCATTCAGCCAACATCGAATCACGCCCACTAGTACGCCTCGGGGCCGCCATCTTTCACCGCGCCACTACTGCTAAGCTGCCGAGCCCCCCCCCCCCCCCCCCGACCGCGGGGCCCCGTCACACTCAGCACCGCGTGACAGTCGGGGGGGCCAGCGGCCGACATCTGTGAGCGGCACTGATTTCAGTATCATCCGATCCTCTCCCCTGGGCGCGGACGGCCCAGTCCTAGGACGACAGGCCTGAGCGCCGATTTCAGCATGGCTCGCACGTTCCGTGGAGGCGGGGAGCTTGGTCTCAGTGATCCCCGATGCGCTACTTGAAATGAAGGGATGACTTGAGCCACAGGAAACCCTTTCCGAGCGTGCGGTACGAGTATGCTTGGTGAGAACATAATGGCTACTATTACTTTTAACTTTAAATAACGGTTATTATTATATATGGGTTTTTGAGATGCGGCACAAATGTAGACAGCTCTTTCATTGTCTGCATGTCAGTATGCTTGTCACGTTTCATCGAGCAGCTCTCGACACGCCGCTCCAGAACGTGCGTGAGTGAGCAAAATGTGCCTAAGGCTGCCTTCACAGCATACGTTTCTGATCATAGTTGAATCAGATTTCGACTCAGAGGAGCGAGACCTGGCCGTCAGCACTAGTTTCTGGTGAGGCAGGGTACGTTCCAGGAGCCAGGCGGCACAAGCCTTGCCATCAAACACCGCAGTACATCCCGCGCGGAGCATAAGTACGGCACATCGGCGCAGAGACGCATGCGCGACACATTGGAACGGGCTTGGAAAACTGGACAAGGCCGGCTGTGCGGCCGGCCCGATCAGTCAGCAGTCCAAATCCACTTAGCGGGTTTAGGGGAACGTGACAACTTTTTGTACTTCTCGCTTATGGTTACGTCAGATGGGTACGGTTTGATGAGTCATGCCGGTTATCCCGAAATCCTTCGAGATAGCTCAGAATTTAGATTCGAGGTAGCCACTCCTGGGGGAGAAATCTCATTGGACTCCCTGTCCACCACTATGAAAGTAATGTATTTCAATGGCCTTGCTTTTGCCAAAGTGTGTGTTCACAGCACACTAACTTGCCAAAATGTTTGCGTTATAAATGCTACGAAGGCAAAAAGATAGGCGAATTTGAGACTAAGAACCCGCGAACTCAACGAAACATAAAGACATAAAGACATAAAGATATCCCACCAACATGGAGCCACAATGGCCCATTGATGTTGGCCTTCCTCAGGTTCCCTACACATCCTCCAAACTAATCACCTGATCTACATAAATTTAGCTATAAATGAGATATTTAGGCCGATAGAACTTGTTCAAACGGTTTTTGAATATTGCTAGAGACGGATGTCCTGCAACCTAGCCTGTCAGCCTATTCCAATGGTTCGCTACTCTTTGACTAATGCCATCTGCCTCTTCAGAGTTCTACTCCGACCTTTTGCTAAATGAAACTGGTTTCCTCTATGTCTCGGCCTAAGTTCCAGTACCCCATTTAGATCTACCTTGTTTATCCCCTTCATAACCTCTATCAGATCCCTTCTAAGTCTACGATATTTTAATGAATACCAATCCAAAGGCCCTAAGCCTATCCTTATATCCTATGTCACTAGTCCCATCTATCATCCTAGTTGCTTTTCGCTGTGCTCTTACCAGTCTATCTTTATCTTTTTGGAAGCATGGGGACCAAACCTGTACAGTATACTTTAAGTATGGTTTGACATAAGCTAAGAACAACATTTTGACAACATCCCTTCTCTTACAACGAGCATTCATTGTCATAAGTCTCAGCGTCCGAGGCTGCCTTGCCCCTAGCAGCCCCATTGCTTTTCACCCTTTAAATCTCCAGACATTGCTACCCCTAAGTCTTCTTCTTCCTTGATATTATCTTACTCTCGGCCTCCCATTTTGCACACTTGTTCCCTCACTACTAAAACTCGCCAAATGCGTTACCCTGCCCTTATCATAATCGAATGAAATCTGCCCAGAACAGCCCAGTTCACCTGTTTATTTAGATCAAGTCGAATCTGGTTCAACTGACCAGCATTTTTCGACACCCCTACAACTTTAATGTCGTCAGCAAATTTTAGCATCTCACTCCCTAATCCTATCTCAATATCATTCACAAAAAATAATAAAGAGCAGAGAGCCCAACACTGCCACATGCAGAGCTCCACTCTGCACTAGCGCTCAATGATATTTTGTACCATCGAGCACTACTCTTTGTTTCCTATCTAGCACCCAAGCCCTTACACAGCCAATAATTTTCCTCTCAATGCCATGCAGTTTTAACTGGTATAGAAGACGTTGTTGTGGCAATGCATCAAATGCCCAACCAAAATCTAGATAGATAGCCTCTTAACTATTGCCTTCATCTATCGGACTAGAAACATGCTCCATAACCTTCAGAAGATTTATCAAACAGGACCTACTAAAAAGAAAAACACGTTGACTACTATTCATCAACTGATGCCTTTTTAAGAACGATTAAATGCGAGCCTTAATGACACTAATATTAACATAAAAGGATCAGCTAAAGCACTAGCACATTCATTCAACACTATCAAACATCTGGTCAGATTCAGCCCGCTTATTTACGTTGATTTCATTTAAGCTATCCCTTACTATACCATCGGTTTCCCTCAAATCTATAAGTACCCCTTCAGTCAGATTTTGCCTATTTTCCGGGAGGTCACGTTTAGTCTTCTTTGTAGAACTGGAGAAAACTAAGAGCAGCTACAATTCTCCTGTTAACATATCGTAACCGGATCTTCAAATTCACGTACACTTTCCCCCAAAAAGCTGCTCACTCATCCAAGATTCAGTAATAGGTACCAGATTTAATTTTTCTTCAAACATATGAGCATGGAACTCACCAATCTTCTTTCTGATAATTCTTGCATATGCATGGAAGCACTTAAGCTTCCCTTCACTTGTTTTTGGCTCACCGTTCAAAAATTTTGAATTTGCGTTGCCTAGGTGTTCTATGTCCACCCTCCCATCCCCGGAAGTCAATTTTCCTCAAGGACACGCTCGCACACGCTACTCAGGACGCGTACACCCTTTTCAAAGGAGTGGAGTCCATCCCCCTGATATAGCTCTCTACAATAAAAAACCTGTCCCACTTGTCTACAAAGGTGAAGCCTAGCTTATCGCAGTTTCTCTCTTCTAGCGTTGGCCGCCAGGCTCCTGGGGCTCCCCACAGGAGGTGCTCCAATTTTGGGAAGAATGCCTTTTACTATCTTCCTAACTTGGCTATGCTGAGGAGTGGTCAAAAGGGTCCCATAATCCTTAATCACCCCCTCACTATTTCCTGCACTATGTTATGGACTCCGACCTGCGTAATCACTGCACTGGCCTAGCTTTCACTAGTGACCTGCGCTACTACTGGCATTAGGTCCTTGGTCTTGGCGCCAGGCTTAGTTAGACATCCTCTCCCTTCCCTCCCCTTACGGAAAACCCTATGGAGATGTGCAACTCGGGAGTCCTGCACTATTACAACCCCTGCTTCATCATCACCGTTACTTGGACTTCACTACTGGGATCATCCTGTACTGCATCAAAACTCCTACCAGGCACAGCTGCACTTCCTAGATTTACTTGTAAGGACATTTATCATTTTTCTGCCCTATCTGTCATATTTCATCCTTGGGAATGGAGTGCCCCTCCCTGCTACCATTCTGACCTACATTTGGTCTATTCTCTATAAGTCTCTCCTGCCTAACCTGCACCATGTGCCCTGTATCTAGTCTACCCTCCTCACTCCTGTCCTGTCTAACCTTAATGTTTGTGAGCTTTTCGAATATGGCTAAAACCTCACGCTTCGGCTTCGCGCGCTCAGTTGACACTTATCTCCTCCTCCTTTCTCAAACTCCTCAAACTTACAAAGATCTATACAATCCTGCCTATCCATGAAAATCCGTAGTCATTCCCTCAGAACACCATTTTCACTCCTAACGGTCATCCCTACTTTTGGGTTCCCAGATGCACAGCTTAAAGGGAGTGTCCCACCTTTGGGGTATATTCCAAAAGCATACTCTAATGAAACCTCAGGACCGTTTAGTTTAATAATAACAATAGGTATTGCCGTTGCAGCACCATGAATACATCATAAGGATATAACTTTTGATAGTTCTCTAATGCAAATTACCTTGTTAACGCTTAAAGCATTACTACGTTCCCCCCTTGCAGTCGCGACAGCCGTCGCCATGACAACGGCAACGACGGCAGAACCTGCCGGGGGCCGCTGTCAGCTGATACCGAATGACGTCAGCACAGCACAAACGAACGTTTGTGATTGGCACCGCCGGTGGCAGGAGCCAGTTCCCGGCAAGCGCGCTGATTAAAGTTTAAGCTAACACATCTCCATAAGCCATGTGATATTTCACTTCCCAAAGCCAACGCACGCTTCGAAGAGAGCCGCTAGAGTGAACGCTATGGGGGAGAAATCAAGCCCACGGCATAACGTTCGTGGCATTCGCGGGACTACAGCTTCATTTTCGGATATATTTGTGTCTAAACGGAATTTTTCAAGCTGCGCAGCACTTATGGTGCAAAGATTTTCACAACTCAGTGTGTTACACAAATAACAGAATACACACTTTGGAAAAGCAAGGCAAATGAAATGTATTACTTTCAAAGTGGTGAGCGGCGTGTCTAATGAGATATCTCCCCAGGAGCGGTTACTTAAAATAGAAATTCTGAGCTTTTCGGGAGAATTTCGAGAAAACCGGCACCAATAATCAAGTCGCAAGCGCCTGATCTAACCACAAGTGAAAACTACAAAAAGGGGGCTTACTCCCATTAAGCACTACACCACCGGTCTCCAATGGCCCCGAGACATAAACCAGTAATCTGCAAGATGGCGGGCTTCGCAGAACGTAGATTTCGGAGCGCCAACCAGAAATTTGTCCTGTTCTGACTTTAAATCGTGTTAAAACACTGTAATGTGTTACATGGTTAATGCAGTATTTTCTTTCCGCCACAGCCGACACACACACAACACACACCACACACACACACACACACACACACAACACACACACACACACACACACACACAACACACACACACACCACCACACACACACACACACACACACAACACACACACACACACACACACACACACACACACACACACCACACACACACACACACACACACACACACCACACACACACACACACACACACACACACCACACACACACACACACACACACACACACACACACACACACACCACACACACACACACACACACACACACACACCACACACACACACACACACACACACACCACACACACACACACACACACACACACACACACCACACACACACACACACACACACACACACACACACACACACACACACACACACACACACACACTATACATATATATATATATATATATATATATATATATATATATATATATAATGTTCACAAACGACCGGTGGGATAACGTGAAACAATCGAATATATTCGATGTTGCACGTTTACTTATAAAGTAATCCGTGCGACATCGGATGTAAGGTTCCCAAAACCAGCAACATCTGACAACGACCGGAGAAGTAACGTGAAATAACGTGTAAGAAAGTGATCCGTACGATATCGGATGTTAGGCTTCTTTGGTGTCGCCGATGTGATTCAAGACGGAGGCGAAAAACAGCCTACTTATCCGACACATGCTCGACCAACACGCTGCGGTGTTCTCGGTATGTAAGTTGTGATTAGGTGTCTGAAGACGCTTCCACCTTCCCTTCATCAACGTGCGACGCTGTGATTGTATCGAATTGCATTTCATACGCGCGGCCATGTCAGATTTCCCACAGAAATGTTTCCGGCTGCTTTTGAACTAGTTTGAGTCCACTACCGCTGCCGGTCCGAGTCTTCACTTACGATGCGCAACTAAACCACTTAATTGGGACGGCGGCTGCCTTTACTCACACGAGACTGCGGCGTGTGCACAACCATCGTCAAATACCCTGAGGTTCTTCTCAGAACCAGTGGCACCTGGTAAGACCGGAGCAGTAGCGATCGAACGTTGTAAGCAAAATAACAGCACTGATGGCAGCTGTCGTCCAAAAAGTCGAGACGATGTTGTTTCAACACAAAAAAATTGAGCCCCGTGACGTCCTGTTGCACATGATGTCACACTCTGCCCAATCACGTCCTTTCAACACTCACCATCTTAATGTTCTGCACGGGACCGGCGTTGCCGCGCTACCTTTTTGCAGTCGTGTTTTACGAATGGTTAAAGCCAACCGCTCGGCTACCGCCTCCCGTAATCATCATTCATTTGAACGATGGAAGCGATCGCCATCTCCTCGTACACTGACTGCGTAGCTTTGAGGATTGGTCAAACGCGACCGCGAAATATTGTATCCACCACGATTGATCGCAGTCGGTGCACGCTGCACAAAAGATGTGTGCAACGGTCCCCGAGCAACACCTTTCTCACGTCTTTGTGTCATAGTCTGTTGGGATATACGCGGAGTATGTTGTGAATGAAATTCGCCTTGCACCAATTTCTTCAAATTCATATAACCTGAACATTTTTGGGGCTGCAGGCTACGGTTGTAAACATCTTTATACACACTTGGATGTGGCCACCTGGATTCCAAACACCATACGATTCGAAAATTTTCCGTCGGCTTATGGTAAACCATTTACACAACAAAGAAACAGCGACCGAACGGGTGTTAAAACGAAACATGGCTCCACAGCACAGCCGTAGGCAGTGGCCAAATATACTCACAGTTCTTCGAGTTCTGCTAGACCATGGAAGGCGTCATCGGCAATTCTATCGATGCGGTTACCCTGCAGGTACCTGCCCGCGAGTAGCACAGTTAGTCATGTTAACACGAGACGGACGTAAAACGGTCCAACAGAAACAGATTGAAAGCTGCATCTGGCCTCACCATTACTTAACACGCGTTCGGGTGGGCGGGGTCAGTTTGCCCCCCCCCCCCCCGAATATTTTTCCGGAATGATTTCCAAATGGCACGGCACAGGCGCGTCAAATTTAAAAGATCTGTAGACAATTTGATGGCCAATCGTTGGTTGTCAATTAATTAGATGTACCTAGTCAGATCGCTGACCTATGGCAGGTTAAAGTCAGGCCACGGATTCACTGAAGACAAGTTCTAGGGAATTGTTCAATATCATCAAACAATAGACTGTTAGACGAAGTCCACAACTTTGAGATAATTTCGTATGCAACACAACACTTGAATAAACATACTCCATTGACCTAGGGTCACGCATAAAAGTCAACCAAAAGCCAAGACCAACCTGCTTTATAAATCTAAAGCTTGCTGTATGTGGTAGTTTCTGGTGCTCATTTATATTTTATTGATAACAGGAACCGCATTACACATATTTATGGACTTCTTAAAGGTCGGAATAGTTCAGTGATCTAAAATGGCCCAAGTCGACGTCTTGTTTTTAGGAGCATACTCCCTAGCGTGCTCTATGACCCTTATTAGAGTGCAAAACTCAAAAGAGTCTTGTACAATTTTGGTCACCATGACCTGTGAAAGGTCAAACAAGGTTATTGCACTTAAGTAAGCACCAGTGATATTTTGGTTAGAACAGGCGTCTAGGTTCTGGGGCCACTTTGGACATCAATCTGGACTTTGACCTTCCTTGGTCCTATCTGACCTGAAAGTCATGGCCTAGGGCCCTCAAATTTTGACACAAGTGGGTTCACATACAGGCCAAGACACTCTGAATTTGGTGTCTCTAGCTTTCCTAGCTTCTGGGATTCCGGGGGGTCAAATTGACCATGCACCGGAGCGACGGGTATTTAGCCAGACATCAGGGCGCGGGTTCACCTTAGCGTGTATCTGAGCAGTCGTTTCCCATAGTAAACACTGAGGCGCAAGTGTTTAACATAGTTTTGCATATAGCACTTACGTTATCACTGACGTTGATGGACTGAATACATCAAGCGAATGTTCCGCATTTGTATCGGGTTTCAACTAAACTAGTCACCTTGAACATTATTTGGTGCGGCTCACAGTCCTGCCCTTCTCAAGGCCTAAACCGCTGTAATTTCTGAGCTGAACACCCGTCAAGATGTAAAGGCAATTTTGGGGAGATTATCTCAATGTCACCCGTGCATCCATGAATCATAATACCATCATAACAATCTTGTCGAACCATTAGCCATGAGGTGATCAAAGAGTAGAAAGATATACTTCTCGAGTCGAGTCGATATCTGGCGCTCGCAAACACGATTTCTAAAGATAACGACCGTCAATTGGCTCTCAATCCACCTTGTACAAGGAGCGATGACGCAATCAAATAGCAACGTATCGAGGAGCACATGTACTAACTAGAGAAATTGTGCTGTCTAGAGAGAGATTGCTTTTCCCACCTCAAGTACACCAAAAGTCATAAATGAGCTTATTCAATCATATTTGATGCTTGCTCCCATATCTTCAAACGTGGAAGGTTTGCTTTAGCACATTTTGGTATGAACCATCATTGGCTGTTCCAGATCAGAACATTTAGTACATACAGAATACATTATTAAGCCCGCACATAACTGCAATTTCCTCTTGAAAAGTAACTATTTGCCAAGGCAGAGACGCATTTTCTTAAAGGTAGGCTTTCAGCGAAGTTGTTTGTGTTCTGTTTTTAGCGACTACCATCTCTAGTGACTCATGAAAACAAAAGTAACGGAACTATGGAAATAATCTTTCGAGAATTCAACTCAGGCACATCTGATGGCATTTTCAGTTTGTTTTCAGATGACGTTTTCCAGCAAATTGCCTCACTTGCTGCACAGCGACATCAATTTGTGATCTATCATTGCATAGGTTGCTATCCATGGGCATAAATTGGCGGCTTATCAAACTCAGTATACACATAAAGACCTTGAGCTCCTGGTTTTTGGGCATTATGAGATTCCGAGTTCTTACGTTGTCAGTTATGACGATGGCGATTGGGGCTGAAAGGCGCGCCGAGGGTCGGAGTCATTTTGCGCGCAATGCTGATAATTGTGGTCCTCAAGAAAACAACATCGATACGATACGATGCCATATAACTCAATGCACGCTTCCTAGCTTCGTTTATCTAGAAACTCCTGATACAAAGAAGGTCGATAAGTCAGCATAGGAACTTTGATCTCGTCATGAAACTCATCTAATCCCTAAAAAATAGATTTGTTCCCACGTCGCTTGCCTCCAAGCGTTTCGCATTTCCAACCACTTGTAACTATAGCAATGACCATTATTATTCAGCTTCTCCAGATTTGATGCAGCAAATTGCTTGGCCGCTTTACAGCTTGGTGATATTGTTCGCCCACCGTCGCAGAGCAGCCCAACATGCAAAACCTCGCACACCACTTACAACCAGTGCAAACAGCCAAAAAAGAAACGATCAAAATAAGCCACGCTATCACTGCCGTGAATCTCATTAGCACAGAAAGTAACGTGGATGTGGCTTCAGTGACAGATGTATCATGCAACCATTTTTTGACAACCTAGCCATGGATCGATTTCTGACAAAAGTTTCGCTGAACTAAGTTCGTTTCCCCTTCTGATGTTGAAACAACCGTTCCACTGGTGAAACTAGGCTCTTCTAAACACTGTTCACCAAAGGTCACTAATTCAAGGCTGAACATTCACCATTTGTCATCTCTTTTACCTGTTCATCAAAGTTCACCCGGTCAGAAACAAACATCATTTCGCTATTTTTCATCTCTGTTACCTGAGATATAAATGGAAGTATTCGGACAACGCAAACCAAATATCTTATGCGAAAGGAATGTTTCATTATTGAGTGAGCTCACTGTGAGCAGCATAAAATTCAACAAACATTTTATTGCTTTATCATATTACTTATTGTACAACCCATAATCGGGTTGGTTAAACTGTGAGTTGCATTTCTGACTACAAGTACCTGCGATTATCACGCTGTACTAAACATCACTCATCTGCATAAATACAACGGGCGGGGACGGCGGGGCTGCAACGATCAAAAAGCCTCTCCAATCGCCAAAGAACAGTCTGTTACTGTAGATCGAAATGCACTTAAACAGAATTGAAAGACGGAACACAATGAAAGGCTTAATTCGGTTACGGTCTGTATTACAGAAGACACGCATTTCAACCTGGCTCGGAAACCGTAAGCTTTCAAATCTTAAGTTGCTTTCGAACCACACCGGTTGTCATTCATCTGGCGATGAGTGGATCGTGCTGGCACAGCCGACGTAGCCGTCCCAGTGGCGGGGCTGTCAGAGCGACGCTCTCGGCCGGCGGAGACTGGCAGAAGCGGTGGGTTCGGGAAACAGCAACAAATGGGGTTGGACACCACCTGGCTCGTCGCATTTTCCAAACAAGGATGGAAAAACTTGGTATCAAGTGGCCGTGTCGAGACATTTCACAGTATGTTTCAATGCGTAACACCGTGTATTTGATTGGTGCTGTAGAAAATTAGACTTCAGCCCATTTTGGCTAATGACCAGCCCCCCCCCCCCCCCTACTTCTTACGCCCTTGGTTGTAGCAATAGTTGAGACGGTGGACCAGCTGTGGTGCTGGCTGTGACGATGGGTCAGCTGTGGTAGTGATTGTTGTGGTGGGGGCTGAGACAGCACCATAATCAATCGGATCCAAGGGGCAGAGTCCAGAAATGGTGTGTATTTATTTGTTTTCCCACATTCCTTGTATCACTGTTTTACTGAGCACTCAGGGGCATGTCCAATAATTTCGAAAAGGGCTAGTGCCTTGGAAAAGCGTACCTATTTTGTTCAATTTATATTGCAAAGTGGGCAGGAGTTTACATGTATGCGTGACCTACCCACTGCACAAAATTTGCCTACTGACTACGGCATGTACAGTAACAACAGTATGTGTTAGAGAGCCTCATGTTAGCTGAGGAAAAACGACGGTATGCTTCGTTATGGATACACTAAGGCTGACTTCGGAAATCCAACCAAGGCTCATGTTCTGATGCCCATAATGTTCGCTAACATCAGCAGGCTGAACCGCCGACGCTGAGCCAGGGAGTGCACCACTTGAACCCAAGGAAACACATGCCGCCGCGGTAGCTGGGCGCATTCGCCATTGCTGCTGATGTCACGGCTCAGAAGCGGCTTAATGAGCTCGTTATTTTTCAATAATTACAATTCACGTCAGTGCATGCTATGGAGCAGCGCTGGTGATGATACTGCTGATGACTGAGACCGTGTCATCATCAGCAGAGCTTGCCCAGACATCTACAAGATATAAATGGCGGTAATCCGATTTCAACGAGTGCTATCGGCAGATGTCAACCTTGCAACCGTTAGTTATGCAAGTGATATGGCGGGTGTCAGTACTGCTATCAGTAGTGGGAGCTGGTCAGTGTGCCTAGAGCACAAACAAGCTGAGCTCAGATGGTGAGGCGCCGTGTGGTACTTGTCACCTTTCACAATACGCGAACGCATTTCAGAAGAATGACAAATTATCCACATGGCATGAGGAATCACAAATTATCGGCTTGGCATGGGCGGCGATAAATGAATGAATAAATTTACTGGTACTGACGCGAAAGAAGAAACATTCATGGTAGTCTGAAAAAGGATGTAGTCTTAAAGCTGTGTCGACTTAACATAATACACACTAATCAATCCATGTTTTGGGTGCGGCCATGTTTTTGATATTTTTGTACGTTTTTTTGTGCAAACATATTGCTCGACGAAAACAGAATGCATTTGGTATGCCATATCTACACCATACGTTGAAGCCAGCGGTCTTGAGTCAATCGACCAGCAATTGGAATGTCCTGCTCTGTTCGCGGTTTTGGTTCCTCGCGGCAGAATCAACTTCGAGCCCACGGCC